TATATGCCCACTTCCTGGATGTCGCTAGACATCCCTCTTGCAGGTGTATTCAACTATAGCTCAAATAAGTAGTTGCCTTCAGTCCAATTGCAATTTATTTTTATGTTTATTGATTTTATTTCATTTTTGAGAAAGAGAGAGAGAGAGAGAGCGCGCAAACAGGGGAGAGAGGCCAAGGGAGAGAGAGAATCCCAAGCAGGCTCCATGCTCTTTGTGGGGGCTCAATCCCACGACCCTGGGATCATGGTCTGAGCAGAAATCAAGAGTCAGACTGAGCCCCCCAGGAACCCCTCTAGTTGCAATTTTACAACTTTTCAATTAAATTAATTTGTGCCCACCACTTACTGGAGGCCAGACAGATTAGAAAGTTACACATCTGTAGCACTGTTAAGGGGAAAAAAGTAAACAATCTAAATACTCAACATTATCATGTAAACAGAATACTATGAAGTAGTAAACAAAAATGACAGAGCTCTTTATAGAGTAAGTGAAATATCTCTGGAATAAATCAGGTGAGAAAAGCAAAATATAGAAGCATGTATAGTAATAATCTGCCATTTGTGTTTAAAAGGGAAAAAATAAATTGATATATATATGAAATTACTTATATATGTAAACACCTCTGGAAGAATATTTATTTATTTATTTATTTATTTATTTATTTATTTTTATTCCCTTCTGATTTTATTTTTTAATTTTAATATATGAAATTTATTGTCAAATTGGTTTCCATACAACACCCAGTGCTCATCCCAAAAGATGCCCTCTTCAATACCCATCACCTACCCATCACCCTCCCAATCCCCATCAACCCTCAGTTTGTTCTCAGTTTTTAAGAGTCTCTTATGCTTTGGCTCTCTCCCTCTCTAACCTCTTTTTTTTTTTTCCTTCCCCTCCCCCATGGGTTTCTGTTAAGTTTCTCAGGATCCACATAAGAGTGAAACCATATGGTATCTGTCTTTCTCTGTATGGCATTTCACTTAGCATCACACTCTGCAGTTCCATCCATGTTGCTACAAAGGGCCATATTTCGTTCTTTCTCATTGCTACATAGTATTCCATTGTGTACATAAACCACAATTTCTTTATCCATTCATCAGTTGATGGACATTTAGGCTCTTTCCACAAGTTGGCTATTGTTGAGTGCTGCTATAAACATTGGGGTGCAAGTGCCCCTATGCATCAGTACTCCTGTATCCCTTGGGTAAATTCCTAGCAGTGCTACTGCTGGGTCATAGGGTAGGTCTATTTTTAATTTTTTGAGGAACCTCTACACTGTTTTCCAGAGTGGCTGCACCAGTTTGCGTTCCCACCGACAGTACAAGAGGGTTCCCATTTCTCCATATCCTCTCCAGCATCTATAGTCTGATTTGTTCATTTTGGCCACTCTGACTGGCGTGAGGTGATATCTGAGTGTGGTTTTGATTTGTATTTCTGGAAGCTTATTTAAAAGCTAATAAAACGGTTTGCTTATGAGAGAGGATCTTGGTGTTTAATGGGCAAAGTAAAATGACTCCTTTCATTGTATTTTTAAAATTCTTTTTGAGATTTGAACCATGTGAATATATTAACTATTCAGACTTCTTAATGTAAAATTATATGGTCTCAGAAATTAATGTAGTTGGAAAAAACAGAAGGTGTTTTAAATGAAATGTTTCCATTTAAAAAGAGAAAGATACTAAATTTGGTGGCAGTCAGGGATAAATCCACTTAAGGTGCTAATTAGCATGTCTATAAGACAGATATAATGGTTGGATTATTACATCAGTTTATCACATTGATGAAGTTCCTCTGCCTTTGAGGGTACCAAGGGATCAATGTGATATAGTGGGAAGAGCATGGGTTTTGAGATCAGGCAGAAATAAATTCAAACCCTAGCCTTTCCATATATTGGTCTTATAAGCTTGGGTAAGTTACTTAACATTTTTGGAGTTTCAACTTCCTTATCTATAAAATGGGTGAAATCTTGATAAATTTATTATAAAGGTTAAGTGACATAACATCCAAGTACAACAAATTTGTTGGTTTACTTCTTTCCTTCTATAGATGGGCTGAACTGAGATGCACTGACATACAGAAATTAAATAAATGTCTTGAGAGAATGCAAGTTGCATGTGAAAGAACTATAACTAAAGTAGGTTAAGTCCCTGTATCTATAATTTCATTTGTCAATGTCGTATTTCTTACAAGAAATGAAGACTTTTATTACCTCAGATGTTTTAAAAATCCTTGGGATATACAGTTTCTCCTTTTGCCTTTTCCTCATCTGTCTAAAAGATGGTCAAAAGTTGATAAGAATGCTTTGAAACACACTACAGCTACAATCTAATAAATACTCCCACTGGCTTTTTGGAGGAAAACATTTTATTCTAATGCTCATTTCTAACAAATATGTATACTTAAAATTTTTAAAAAACATTTATTCACTTTTTGAGAGACAGAGAGGAGTGTGAGTGGGGGAGGGGCAGAGAGAGAGGGAGACACAGAATCTGAAGCAGGCTCCAGGCTCTGAGCTATCAGCACAGAGCCTGACACGGGGCTTGAACTCATGGCCTGCAAGATCATCACCTGAGCCGAAGTCTGATGCTCAACTGACTGAGGCATCCAGGCGTCCCCAAATATATATGGTTTAAAGAGGAATTTTGCTGTTTATTTATCACTTGAAAAATCAGTGTATTTTTTCGTTTAGTAGTAAATATCATCTTAAGAAACAATATATCGGGGCGCCTGGGTGGCGCAGTCGGTTAAGCGTCCGACTTCAGCCAGGTCACGATCTCGCGGTCCGTGAGTTGGAGCCCCGCGTCGGGCTCTGGGCTGATGGCTCAGAGCCTGGAGCCTGTTTCCGATTCTGTGTCTCCCTCTCTCTCTGCCCCTCCCCCGTTCATGCTCTGTCTCTCTCTGTCCCAAAAAAATAAATAAACGTTAAAAAAAAAAAAAGAAACAATATATCAAAACCAATGTTACCCACAATTCATATTAAACTTACTGATATTTTACATTGAATACTTTGAGTGTGATTTGATATATTCACCTAATGTATTGCTTGATATAGTGATGATTTCTCAATTATTTTTCACTTTTGAAACACCAGACGATGCTCTATATATAGTAATATTAAATCCATAATTAACACAGTCTCGATAATAGCAGTCACCAAAATCCAGGAGATTGGTATTCCTAAACCCTAAACTGACTACTCAATTGTTGTCAAACTCCTGACAACAAGTGTCTCAGGTAAAGATCCAGGTGAAACAAAGATTATTGCTTACTCATATTTTCCTGGCTATATACAGGGTTGATTGTTAGGCAGTGAGTAGAGATTGTATGTTTCTCTCTCAAATATATTGGGGGAAATGCATAGATTTCCTTTCTCTCTGTTCTTGAGTTTCATTACATTTCTTCAAAGAATTTAATGAGTTCAGGGAGTTGCATCAGAAATTATTTTTGTATTAATGGTAGGAATGACAAGCAGTTCCTTTGTAATGTTGTACCAGTCAATACCTGTTTTTGCCTAAGGATGTATCCATACCAATTCTGGATAATCCAGCTTTGAAGTGGGTTGGGCAGAGCTGGGTTTCTTTCGTTGGTGCTATTAGTTTGTGTTGTGACCTAGTCACACATACCTTGAAAATTTAAACAGCACCAAGGAAACAATTAATTAAATTCCACAAATTCTAACTAAAGACAGGACACATGGCATTTATATCAAAATAGTTTTGTAGAAAAGCTACAAGAGTTCTTTCCATTTCCTACAAATTATTATCTAGAAGGATCATTCACCTAATATATTCTGCTTATAGAAAACACCCCCCCCCTTTTGCATGTGAAATGCCAAAATTAGCAATTACCAAGCCAATGAAATGTTCACAATCTTCAAAATGTTCTTTAAATAAATGTTTGGCAGAATCCATTTTTTAAAAATTGTTATATTCTTTAAATTATCAGATTCCAATTTCAAGGGAGGTGAAATATTAAAAATTGCACAATCAAGATACACACAGCCCTTTGTTAGAGCTGTATGAGAGGAGACGTGCCAGATCTTTTGCTTTGAGCCAACCTAAGTCATATAGACTTTCTCTGGGTCAAGGGGCATTTGCCATACAAACTTCACCAAATGCCTTTCTTCTGGTGATCTTTGATCATAGGATTACTTGAAGCTTGAGTATTTTAAAACCCCTCTTCATTGACAAAGGAGATAGACGGATAGAGATAACAGAAGTAGAGACAGATCCTTAGGGTGGGGTGGGGGTGGGGGGATACCTGTGCCACCCCCACCCAGCCCCCGCCTTACTTAGCTTGTTTTGCATCACCAAGAACTGACAAGAATTAGTTTAGTTGGCGGGACCCAGGGGCAGGTGGAAGACTCCTCAAGGAAGAGTAACTAAAATGGGGCTTTAAGTTTAGCACTTTGCTAAGCGCTTTCTGTTAGTTAGCTAGCTAATGTATTCATAACAATAATGCGATGAGGGACGTACTCATATTAGCCCCATTTCACAGATGAACGAACGAACTGAAAGGCACACAGATTAAACACCAAACGCTCGTAGGTCACACAGCAAATAAGTGGCGGCACCAGTACTGGAAACTGCTCCAGAGCATACACTCTTAACCACCGCTTTCAGCCCTGTGGTCTGATTCCCCCGAGGTGTTAGCGGCCTTCCCACCGTCCTTCGTGGGACAGTTCCCAGTACTGAGGCATGGCGCTGTCCAGCCCTCAGGCCCGCCGCCTTCCTCCAGCAAGAGAACGCGGCCCCGCGGGGCCATCCCGCCGGTAGGTTGCAGAACCGCCGCGCCCAGCCACGTCCCGGCACGCGGGCGGGCCGAGTCGCCCCGGGGCGGCCATCCCAAGCAGCCCCCCCTGGTGCCCTCAGCTCCAGGCGCTGGGCTCCTCCACTCGGAAAGGCTGGAGGCGCCAAGCAGGAACCGCCCTGCCCCCTCGCCTGTCCCAGCCCCCTACCCCCTCCCAAAGAGCAGGCGGCAGATAGGTTACACAATCTCACCTGTCCCAGAGGTGGCGCCCGCTCTAGTGACTGACGCTCCGCTCCTCCAACCAGAGACTGCGAGGAAGGTGGGGACTAGACGAGACTGATTGCTTCATTCCTCCAATCCCCGTGCAGCAACTCTCCGGCCGCAGTCTCGGCGTCTGGCGGAGAGCGACAGGTGGGAGCTTGGTAACCTCTGTGCCTCTTGCATCCTTAACGTATAAGCCTCACCAAGCTCAGGGTGAATTCTACTCCAAATCTCACTAATTCTGGCGGGTCGTCACCTCAGCCGTCATTTTAATCAGAAGTGGAAATTCCCCAACCCTTTCCCGTCACCTCAGACGGGGGCGGGATGAATGGTACTATTGCCTGCCAATTGTACCACGCGACGTCCTGTGACAAAGTGATCGACACTTTATGGCGCCAATGAAGCCTCCCCTTGTCAGGGGTCACTATGACTGACCACAAGGCCAACTAATCCACTTTAAGGTCGTGACGCGATGGTTACAGAGGTTGACCAATAGATGTAGAAAAAGACCGGAAGTCGGCGCGTGGGGACTAGGAGGCGGGTGTTCGCAACCGCCTAGGCCTGCGCGGGTCAACGCAGCTTGGGGGCCGCGAGCCAGCAAGCGGCGCGTGACGAAGAGCCTGAGCGACGGGTCACCTTGTCCAATGATCTGCAGCCGCTGGGGAACTGCAGCCAGTGGCGAGTGTGAGGGGCGGGAGGCAGCAGGTTAGGCAGTGAGAAGTTAGTGGCGCTGCTGGGACGGGGGGAAGGAGAAGCTTCTTCCTCCTGCTGTTCCTCTCGTTCCCGGGATCGGCGGCGGCGGTGGCTGCGGGTGACTCGGCAGCGTCTCCGGCTCCGCGTGCGAACCATGCTGACCGATGGCGGAGGCGGCGGCACCTCCTTTGAGGAGGACCTGGACTCGGTGGCTCCGCGATCCGCCCCAGCCGGGGCCTCGGAGCCGCCTCCGCCGGGAGGGGTCGGGCTGGGGATTCGCACCGTGAGACTCTTTGGGGAGGCCGGGCCCGCGCCTGGAGTCGGTGGCGGCGGCAGCGGTGCGGCCGGAGGGGACGCGGCGCTGGATTTCAAGTTGGCGGCGGCGGTGCTGAGGACCGGGGGTGCAGGTGGTGCCTCTGGCAGCGACGAGGACGAGGTGTCCGAGGTACGCTTCCAGGACTCCCGTCTCCCATATAGTGTGAGGCATGAATTCTCTTTGGGCCAGCATAGGGTCGGGGCCACCTTCTCGCTCCCCCGGCGTTCTTTGACAGCGATCGGCTCCATGGCGGCAGTGGCAGCGGTGCGGGCCTAGTGCGCCCTCAGCTTACTCTTCAGCCGGCGGCTCGAGCCGGACCGGTTCCCGTCACCATCCGTAGACCCACAATGGGGAGTCCTTTGGTCTCCAAGCTTCGCGCGGGAACAAGGACTCCTCTGGCTACCTCCCGCCCACCCCGCTTTGGAGATGGGGGGGCGGGGTCTTGCCTGAGTCCCTGCCCTTGGTACTGAGAGAGAGAGAGAGAGCGAGAGAGAGAGAGAGCGAGAGCGAGACAGAGGGAGAGCGAGACAGAGGGAGAGACAGACCGAGAAACCGAGTTTGCTAGCTGCAAGACCATTTCCACTATATGCCCGTGCCCAAAGTTGAGTTGTCTGACATTTATTTGCTTGTGCCTTACCTGTGTATGTAAGAAGACTTCTTAATTTCCTTTTATACTTTGAAACTGGTTAGTATGAAGAAGCTCTCTGCTTTTACTCTGAAAAAGCACGTGAGCCTTTCACCTGGGACCTTTTATGAAGTTATGCAGGAAAAGGAAATTCCAGTGCATCTTTGAGCTTCGGAATAGTTGGGTAGATGAAGTCTGTAGGTTTTTAGGCTTGGGGAAGGTGAAACCCTGGACACCTTTTGCAGAGATTAATGATTAGATCCTTCATTTCTTTTAACTCTTTAACTCTTAACTGTGTTTTTAGGTCTGAGCAACATGGGATGCAAGGCATCATTATCTTTTGGGCTTTAGGGAAAAAGGAGATATTTTATGTATGTACTTTTTTCTCTTGACCATGACTTGGATATGGTACTGTTCCTTTATGGCTATTGTTCTAAGTGCTCAAGAGTATTCTGTTTTGGTTCTAAGGTGCCTGGTTCATTCCCCTATGACCAATTATTTTAACCTCTGATCTTGGTGTTAAAGTACAGAGATTTCTCTGTGTACAACTATCCTGGCTGTTGCATTTGAGAGGAATAAGAAACTATTTGTGAGTTGCTGAATACAGTTAGTGCATTGTCTTACCATTCTACCATTGTCTTACCATGCCTGAACAGGGGTTCATTTAGATTTAAAACCTTAGTACATTTTCATTCCAACATTTTGCTTTGGAAAAAAGCGTGTGGGATGTAAGGGAGCTAATCCCTTGAATGTCCATATCTTTGAATTTCACTATAAGTAACTTCTAAGCCAAAGTGGGACAGAATTTTATTTGAGTACACAATTATGGGGAGAGTCCCTGGAGTACCTCCACTCTTGTACTTATGGAAGGCTTTCTTTTATCCTTTCAATGGAAATTGATGACTAGGAACCTAAAACACATGTACTTTTTACCTAGGAAATAAGTGGGAATTTCTTTAGACTCTAAACATTAGAGGTTTTTTTTGTTTGTTTGTTTGTTTGTTTAAGTTGTTAGACTGAAAAGGTTTGCTTTGGTCTAAATGTGATGTCCTTGATTTTCTGGACCATTTTCACATAATCATCATAAGTGAGATAAAAGATCACTAATTCACATAAATAATATTTTTACATAAATAGTATTTTTTTACATAAATATATCTGGGAAATGAGCTTTTGTAGTAACCATTTTTGTAAGGCTTGTACACACACACACACACACACCCACTCTCAGTCTCTCTTTCTGTCTCTACCTTACTGTATTTCATTTGGAGTCTCCCTACCATGCGATTAAAGCTGTGGGCAGAATCCACAGCTCTTTGGTTTTTTGATGTTTATTATGGAAGTTATATATTCATGATTCTTTTACCCATTTAGGCTAATGGTAGAAGAACTTATTTTCCTGTTACTTAACTGTTCTGTGCCTAAGAAAAATTTAGGTATTTAAGTGTATATGGGTGAGTCTCATTTTGTGTCTAGGATACCCAGAGACTTTACCAAGGTCTAAGATGATGGTCAGTGTGTATATCTTTCTTAACCTGTGGGGAAAGGAAATTTTGTTTCTATGTCTTTTTTCTCACATACCATATAAAGAAGAAATTCCTGGAGTATCTAGTCTCTCCTGTACAGTGTGTATGGTAGACTACAATCTCTGTGGGAGTGAAATGAAATATCTTCTCCCATATTATTGCCTTTAAATTCCTGGTATGAAGAGACCATAATGTTCTTCAAAAAACACTCACCCAATTGGCATTTTATGAATAATCCTGAAATCTTTTTTTTTTACCTTCCCTAGATGTTTTAGAACCAAGTATTTAGAATCTAGACATCCAGAGAAATAAGTTATTTTACAGTTTGAGAGTAAACTTTGTCGTGTTCCCCCAATAGGGCAGGACTTGGTGAGAAATAAGAAATGTGGAGACTTAGTGTATTTGCTTGAGAATAAGTCGAAGTTCTATACATTTTGTGTACAGAGGCATAGATACTCCAAGGACCTTTTTTTAAATTCATTATTAGAGCCAATAGATTTGAAAAAACAGGCTGTTTTTCCTTGCTGGCTAAGTCAAAAAACCTAGTTTCCGGAAGGAGCTTGAGTATTTTTGTAAAATTTTTATTAGAATGGTACCACCTTACAGAATACCACCATTTGGGATCTTTGGTTCTTGTTTTAAACACTCGTGGAGTGCCTGGTAGCTCAATTGGTTAAGCATCTGACTTTGCCTCAGGTCATGATCTCGCAGGTTTGTGAGTTCGAGCCCTGTGTGCAGCACTGTGCTGACAGTTCAGAGCTGGAGCCTGCTTCAGATTCTTTGTCTCCCTCTCTCTCTGCCCAGTACCCACCCCCCGTCAATTCTCCATCTCTCTCTGTCTCTCAAAAATGAATAAATGTTAAAAAAAAATTTTTAGGGGCATCTGAGTGGCTCAGTCACTTAAACATCCAACTCTTGATTTCGGTTCGGGTCATGATCTCGAAGTTCGTGAGTTTGAGCCCCACATAGGGCTCTGTGCTGGCAATGTGGAGCCTGCTTGGGATTCTCTCTCTCTTGTCTCTCTATCTCTCTCTCTGTCCCTACCCTGCTTGCTCTCTCTTTCAAAATAAATAAATAAAATTTTAAAAAAATTTAAACATTGGTAAATACCTGTTTTGTATTTCTTCAGGCATAGCAAGCATGTTCCTTAGCTGTCCAAGGCCTTGAATAGAAATTGGAACTTGCGTTGGATGCTATTAAATGTACCCATTGTTCAGAATAGAGGTCAGGTTGGAAAAAAAAATTTAATATTTATGTATTTTGAGAGAAAGAGTACAAGCAGGGGAGGGGCAGAGAGAGAGGGAGAGAGAATCCCAAGCAGGCTCCAAATTGTCAGCGCAGAGGCCAACTCAGGGCTCGAACCCATAAAATGTGAGATCATGACCTGAACTGAAATTAAGAGTCAGATGCTTAACTGATTGAGCCACCCAGGAGCCTCTATAGTGTTTTGATTTTTTTTAAGTAAAAAGAAGAAAATTCGTAAAGAAAAGACTCTTGTAAGATTTATGACTTTTAATTTTCTTTCATAAGGATGTGTGCATATACTGTGTATATTTTTAAGTTATAAAAATCATATAGTCTCCTGGTGAAAAATTCAGCAGTATAGGTAGAAGATATAACATGCAAAGTAAAAGTCATTTTCATCCCCACTGACCCTTCAAATTTCATTTTTCAGTGACAACCAGTATTAAAATTTTTCTTTCAGAAATTTTCTAAGCCTATATAAGCCTATGTATGTGTGTGTGTTTCTTCATATACACACACTGTAGAAACAAATATCCAGTTAGAAAGCATAGCTTGATATCATATTGAGGCTTTTTTCTTATCTTGAAGCAGGTGCCATATTTACAGTTATGCAAAAGCACACTAAAACTGTATACAGCAATTTATAGCAAAAGCTTTGTAGGGAATTTTTTTCCTGAAAATTATTTTTAGAGGCAAAAGTATAGGCATACGGAATTTCCATTTTGATTTTCTCTAGTTGGAGAAGAGATGTGTCATTTCCTTTGGAGTTTCTTATCATTTATAATCTAGAGCAAGATTTCTCAACAGTAACCTATTGATATTTTAGTCCAGATAATTCTTATTGTGGGGGGCCATCCTGGGTATTTTTTTTTTAATTTTTTTTTCAACATTTATTTTTGCGACAGAGAGAGACAGAGCATGAACAGGGGAGGAGCAGAGAGAGAGGGAGACACAGAATTGGAAACAGGCTCCAGGCTCTGAGCCATCAGCCCAGAGCCTGACGCGGGGCTCGAACTCCCGGACCGCGAGATCGTGACCTGGCTGAAGTCGGACGCTTAACCGACTGCGCCACCCAGGCGCCCCCCCATCCTGGGTATTAACAACATACCTTTACCCACTAGATGCCAGTAGAACCCATCCAGTTGTGACAGCCATAAATGTCTGCAGACATTGCTAAATGTCTCCTGGGGACA